GGGCGTACAAACGCCTTAGCTTTCTGATTTGCCCAATTACAACCTTGCAGATGGTTGCCGGCTTTGATTGGTCTGCTTGACCAAGTTGCTGGCCCTGCTTCTCCTCTCTTTTCTGCCCCCATGAAAACAAGAGATCTTTGCTCTGCAGGTCTAGAACAAGTTTTGGACGTTTTACGGCATTGGAACTCCGAGGTCAGGCGAGTTACGCAACGCCAAAGGCAAAACTCCTGCAGCCAAGCCTGCCGATGCTACGCACAGCACAACCCAGATCGCAGCATAAAGCTGAGACAGTGTGTGTGTAAAAGAAAGTCCGATTTGGTGGCCGCCCAAAGTGAGGGGCGAGGATCGATAAGTTTTACCGTCTCGGCAAGTAGGTATCAGTACAATGTGTGTCTTGGAATATCCCCGGGCTGGGCGTAAGAGGGGAGGGAGCAAAAAGACAGACTTTGTTGTTGGTTCAAACAGAGCGTTCTCCGCTGGCTAGAGGTATACGAGTGCCGAGATGGTACTAGTACCGCCAGAGGGGAACCGGCATTAGCACACAATACTCGGATCCGACATTTGCGGGCCGCGATGGCATTATTTGCACGGTTTGGAGTTGTTTGGCTTGGCCAGATAACGGCTGCAGTGGTGCGCCGGGAGGTGGCCATTTGTCCAAGCCTTGGTCTAGACTCTTTGCCGCCTAATGGTGGCATGGAATGTGTTATCTCTGTGGCTGCTTCGCCCGCTGCTCGTATCACAATTGTGGTGGGTTGAGAAGATTGTAGCCTACAAGGCAGCGAGAGGTCTCTATGGAGCAGACTCTTCGGAGCAGACTCTTCGGAGCAGACTCTTCGGAGCAGACTCTTCGATCTCTTGCAAAAGGATAGTTTGGGCTCCATGACGGGCTATTTCCATCTGATGCAGTGGTTTCAGGGCAAATACTCTACCAGAAGTGCTATATACTATCGCAGAAATGATATGACAGATTTAAGAGCCTTCGCTGCTTGAATGGACCTCGAATAGCTGTGGGCATAGTTTAACCCCGAGCGGCAGTGTAAAGATACAGATCGTAGATCCCAAGGGACTTTACGAAAACTTCTCGGCCGATAGTTTTTTTTTACTTTTGCCATCAGTCATGTCGATCAAATTGGAGAAAAAAGCTTTTTCGTAGGCCAGGGCTGCCAGGGTAGGCTCTCGCTCCTCTTTCTGTTTCGCTTCCGAAGCCTGTTTGATCGACGGCTCCATATGCTGAAACGGGGCACTGGCAGCTGAAGAAGCGGCGATCCAAATGATTTGTTTGCCTCGAGGCAGGTCGTCTCTTTTGATGATATGTATGAGTCTGCGTTTGGGTGTTTTTTTTTTTTTTTTTTTTTAGGATGAGAAGGGGAAAGGCGTGTTTTCCTTGAAAGATTGAATGAGAATAAGAGAAGGGGGCTTTTGACAGCATGGTTTAAGGGTCTACATACGAGTTGGAGATGTTTTACGTTTTATTTTGAGAAAATATTAAATTTCGGCCACCAATGTGAAAGTTGACTATAAGCGTGCGACGTTCACTCGAGCAATCTAAGGGTAAGAAACGATCAAAAACGCTTTTCGGTATTTCTTCTTCTTTTTTCTCTTTTCAGACTCATTTTCTTTCATTTTTTGTATATACGATGAGCAAGCCCTGATTGTATAAACGTAGATTGCGGCTGTTGAAAGAATAGACAGACATCTTGCTTTACCTCTCTCTTCAAATGTATGCACGATAGTTGTCAGATGTAGCGTCTCTAAATAACCAAAAGCATGAAGATCAGGCTAGATTATCGTCGGCTACGTCTTTTTTTTGGAACAATAATATCAAATCTCTACTAATAGATCGTCAGGGAAGCATGCAAAGCCCGAGTTTTAACATATAGCAGGTCGTATAAGAGACGCTTGTTTAAGCACGCGAACTTGCGAATATTTCTTTTCCGTTACTTGTCCAATGAAGCTTTTTTTTTATTACACCATTACCTATTAATTATCATCATCCTCTTCTTAAAGTCTCAAATCAGCGTATATAGTTGAACACTAATGGGTAGGTCCGCGGGTCCCCCAACCGTATCAGTGTCAAACCACTAATGCTGCCATCAACAGGACAAAGTCGGCTAATGCCGTAAAATGCGCTGCTTTCAGTGATGGGAAATGCATATTTTCGTAAGCATGCGTTTGGAAATATCTCTTTCACAAAGTGATGAATGCCTATGAAGCTCAGAGATGAGGAGTGTAAAGATAGACACTTGAGTTATAGTCTGTGGCTTGAAGTGCTCCCTACATCATTCGCAGCATCGGTCTCTCCTCACCTGTTATATCTCACTGTCCTTACTATTGTACTAGTTATATCCACTGCAATGCCCTGTTACTGAAGCCATAATTCCCCTTTATTCAGTCATTAGCCAGCTAGAACATGACGTCCTCAAGGAGGGGGGAAAGTCTTCTAGTTATAGATTCAGATATACCTACCTTCTCCAGCAAATGAATCTTATCTAATAACACCATATTCTGAAACAATGACTTATCAATCATAATTATCATTCGAGACCAATCTCTGACTGCAAATCGAAATCTGCTTCCAAACCTCATCAATAAACAAAAAAAATAGATTCTCCTAAACCAGCGGCATCGGCAACTTTCATCTCGCCCCACCTCAGCCTTGCGGGGAACCGGCCCTCTCACCAGCCACATCCAGCCACACGCAAAACGCTCTTATATAGCACAGTAAGCAGCAAGCGCCCAAGCTTGGGAAGAGCGACCCTTTCACAAGCCTCCTCCGCGCGCAGCATCAAGGTACCTTTTTTACTTTTAAACGCAAGCCGCCTCAGCCTCGTTTATCTCGTTCTCCAACTTTCGATAAACTTTCACGAGATAAAGAAGAATACCTAATTAACTCTCATCTCATTTTTTTTTCTACAAATCAACTTTCATTTTCCCCTCTGTTTCGTCTTTCAGTTTTTCTGAGGGTCTGAGCAGAAGTACCTGCTACAGCCCGACCAAGATTCGAAGCTCCGTTTGATTGCGCACGCGCCGCTGGCAAGTGGTGCAAAGGCGGGAGAGAAGCTGCCTCTTTGCCTCGCCGAGTTTCGGGTAGGTAAGCCATCGCATCGCCGTCTTCATTGCCTTGGACTCTTCTTTTGTGCCCTCTTGTATTGTTAATCCTGCTTTGCTGACCCAATGGCTCTAGCTCGTCCGACGATACAAGAAGCCAAAGGGTGGCTGTCCCTCGGTTCAACACCATCCGTTTGCCATCATCATCGTCTCCATCGCACGCTCTGCGGGCCTTGCCTCGTATCTGCCCCTCCATCTGACTTTCCTACTTCGACTCTCGGAATCCCGACCGACATATTCTCTCCTCTTTTGGCTCATAATATCGCACGCGCGCGCCTCTCTGTCGCCTCTTCGCTTACAAACCACCACTGCGCATCACTTATTCACACACTTTCCATCATGTCGCAGAGGCCGTCAACACCAGTCAAGGTGCCGTCATCGGCGGCAAACTATACCCCCGCGACGCTAGATCCAGACTTGCGATCGCAGATAAACACAATCCTGCTAAAGGATGGGCACATTACAAAGTTAGTTTTGCCAACCTCCACCCCGAAACCAGTACCACTAACTCAATTCCTACCTGTCTCTAGAATCCAAGAAGCCCTCCTCCACGCCCTCAACTCCAACTCCTCCAACTGGCCCACCACCATCCAGAACCACGCCCTGACCCTGCTCCGCTCCGGCGAAGTCACCACATATCCAGCTCTCCTCCGCCGCGTCCTCGAGGACGTCCGCGAGGGCCAGCCCTCCTCAACATCCAGTACAAACGGCAAGTCATCATCTGCCGCCGCAGCGACAAACGGCAACGGCGACACCAAGAAAACCAACGGCACACCGGCCTCCGACAAACTGCCCCTCGCCATCCCCACGTCAGTAATAGAAGAGGCCTTGAGAATCACGAGAGAATGCCTCGACTCTGTGTGCGAAATTGAGGAAAAGGGCAGCGGCTAGACATCTCAGTCCTCTCCTCCTCTTCCTTGTTCTTCTCCTTCTCTCAATGTTACTCTATCTCTACCTCCTTCTCTTCCCTCCTCTCCGTCAAAAACATCAACGCATGGCTCACCTCCAACAACTGCTTCAATCACTACAACTGCTCCAATCACGAGGAAACGGCGCTGGGTGCTTCTAAAAAGAAGTCGCTTGCGGCCGGAGTAAAAATTAATCGCTTCTCTTCCCTTTTTTTTTTCTTTTTCCTTTCCTTGGCTGATTCTTACTCCTCTCTTTGTTTGTTTTGTTCTGGTCGACTTTTTTTTTCTTTCTTTTTTTTCCCGTGGTATAGATATGGTTATCGGGGAATATCGCTTCTTTTTCTTTGTCCTTCTTCCGCTCTCCTGTTTTGGGACGAGCGGTAAGGAGATTGTATGTGGCTTTTGGGAGCGTATGGTGCATTATATGATTTTGAGCTATCAGGGAGCATATGAAGTGTCTGGAGACGCCTGCTTGGGGGAACTTTCATAGAGACCACCACAGCTTTATATAAAGTTTATATCAGTCGTACTAGCATCACAATAAATGTTGCTTCCTGATCAGTACTAGACTGAATGGTTCACCTCTACGCGTTGGTTGAATTATAAGATACTACAGTGGATTGTTCACTTGGCGGCTGGCGTTGAAATGATTTAAGTGGAATCAATTGCACTCTTCTATCAAGCTAACGTAACTTATTCTGGTGTTTTCAAATCCCAGTGTTCCCATCCCTTAGTCTGTTTAATATCAAAATGTCCTGAGAATATCTTAGTGGCCGAGCGCCATGATTTGAGTTGGCCCAACTCCGGCCATCCTCTGCTGCCTTCCTGAGCCCAAATAGTATATCAAACGGTATCGTGACTTGGATTTCTACCCGATCAATTGATGCTGATAGATGCAGATGCAGGAAGGAGTCTTTTATTGTTGTCTTAAATTACAAGAGAATTCGGAAAATACCTTCTTCCCTTGCCTTCTGCCATCATGCTTTAGTCGTAGAGATCATCATCGTTGCCTGCATCACCGAAAGAGTTGCCGGCGTTGCCAGCGTCACCACCCTCGGTTCCATCAGGGAACTTGAAAAAGGCACCAGGACCGGCGTTCTTCATCTGCTGTGCAAAGGCCTCGTATCTTCGGATCTCCACATCGCTGACGGAACGGCGAGCCATCTGCATGGCCTCCTCGAAGTGAGCCCTTGTCAGCTCGGGAACAGGGTCCTCGGCATCTTCATCGACATCCATGTTGTCTCCAGCAGCCTCACGGGCCTTGGTGCGCTCAATGTCAAGTGAGATGGACTCCTTGATGGCAATCTTGACGGCACGCTGGGTGATGAATCCCAGATCGGCACCAGAGAAGCCATGTGTCTTGGAAGCAATGTAGCCAAGGTCAATATCACCAGCGACAGGGGTCTTGCGCAGCTGGGCCTTGAGAATACCAAGACGGCCAGGCTCATCAGGAAGGGGCACATAGATGAGCGAATCCAGACGACCAGGACGGCAAAGAGCAGGGTCGAGCTGCTCAGGTCTGTTGGTAGCACCAATGACGAAAACGTTCTTCTTTGAAGTCATACCGTCCATTTCTATTCATATTGTTAGCAAATGCTCTCACATAATCCGAATTTTACAGGGTATTAACGCAGTAGACTTACCAGTCAGCAGCTGATTAACAACACGGTCGGAGGCACCACCAGCATCGCCAACAGAGCCACCACGAGCCTTTGCAATGGAATCCAACTCGTCGAGGAAAACAACGCAAGGAGCGGCTGCTCGGGCCTTGTCGAAAATATCTCTGATGTTGCTTTCGGATTCACCAAACCACATGCTGAGAAGTTCGGGTCCCTTGACGGAAATGAAGTTGGCAGCGCACTCGTTGGCGACGGCCTTGGCCAACATCGTCTTACCAGTACCAGGAGGTCCATAGAAAAGAACACCTCGGGACGGGGAGAGACCAAACTTGAGGAACTTCTCGGGGTGGTCGACGGGATACTGAACGCTCTCTCGGAGATCCTGCTTGACCTCCTCGAGACCACCAATGTCTTCCCAGCGAACGTTGGGGACTTCGACGACAGCAACCTCGCGAAGAGCAGAGGGGTTGGACACGCCAAGAGCGAATCGGAAGTTCTCCATGGTGACGCCTAGGGAGTCCAAGACTTCGGCGTCGATGGTGTCCTCATCGAGATCGATGAGATCCATCTTCTCACGAATCTGCTGCATGGCGGCCTCAGAGCAGAGAGCAGCAACATCAGAACCGACGTAACCGTGGGTCTCGGCAGCAATTTGCTCCAGATCGACGTCATCGCCCAGCTTCATGTTCTTGGTGTGGATCTGGAGAATCTCCAGACGGCCAGTTGGGTCGGGGATACCAATATCCACCTCACGGTCGAAACGACCGAATCGTCGCAGAGCCGGGTCAATGGAGTTGGGTCGGTTGGTGGCGGCCATGACGACAACGTTGGAACGAGCCTTCATACCGTCCATGAGGGTAAGCAGCTGAGAGACGACACGACGCTCAACTTCACCGTTGGTCTTGTCACGCTTGGGGGCGATGGAATCGATTTCATCAATGAAAATAATGGCAGGTGAGTTCTTCTCTGCTTCCTCAAAGGCTTTTCGCAGATTGGACTCAGACTCTCCGGCCATTTTAGACATGATCTCGGGACCATTGATGAGGAAGAAGAAGGCGCCAGTCTCGTTGGCAACAGCACGAGCCATGAGCGTCTTACCGGTACCGGGAGGACCGTAGAGCAAGACACCACGAGGTGGCTTGATACCAATTGACTTGAAAAGCTGAGGGTGGCGGAGAGGAAGCTCAACCATTTCTCGGATCTGAGCCATCTGCTTGCGGCATCCACCAATGTCGTCATAGCCAACCTCATTCAGGTTGTTCTCTTCCTCCTCTCGCTGGATAGGTTCGCCCTCACAGTGAATGACGGTATCCTGAGCTACGATACCGTATTCCGGGGGATCCACCTCGACAACCTTGAATTCGACTTGTCTCATACCACCACGGACGATGAACAAGTCTCCTTGCTTGACTGGTCTGTAGGCTTCGCGGAAGTATGGGGCGAGGAAAACGTCGAATAGTGAGCCAGTAATGCCCTCGACGGTGTCGGCAATAGGCAGCACAGCAATTCGCTTGGCCTATTCAATGGTTAGATATGCAATAACAGCAATTCAAGAGTATTGAGTAGACTCACATATTTGATGTCGGGGCAAGCGGAGATGGTGATCACGTCACCGTGCTTGACTCTGAGATTGTGGCGGACAACGCGGTTGATTCTGGCGCTTCCCTCATCCAACTCCTCGTCGGCAAGAACGATCAGGACCGTCTCCTTTCTCTTCTTGCCTCGTACAAGGACGGTGTCACCGCGGAAGAGCTGGAGGGCGTCCATGGTAGCCTCGGACAGGGCGATGATGCTGTTGTCGTCATTGACGGCATCGGTAACCCTGGTTTCAGTCAGAATATATTTGTTCGTCTGCGTCTGAGGGAGAACACCTACATCAGCTGGTTGGGCTTCTTCTTCTTCTTGAGAATGGCAGTGGCGGTGTCATCTTCCTGTCATAGAGTTAGCTTCCCCGCCCTGGATATCTAAGCATGGTGGGCTGAACGAACGTGCTTGACCTCGGCACCGGAGGGGTCGCTGTGAGATTGTTAGATGCTTCCAGCTACTCGACAACTATGCCCAAATGGCCTCCAGGTGGGATCACGTACGTCAAGTTGACCTTCTTCTTGTGCTCTTCAGGCTGAGAAGCCATGGTGTCTAATGACGACTGAGTTCACGACGATGTGGGGGGGATGATGACGGAACAAAGCCGGGGTTCGTGGAAGTCGAGAAAAAGAAACAAACGTGAATGTGCTTCCTCCTCAACAGTAGTCTATGGGAGAAGGAGAAGGAGGATTCGATCTCGAATTTGGCTTCGGGGAGGATGATATGAAGGAGAGAGAATCCAGCGGCGAAAGCTAGAGGTGTCCGGAGAGTTCCTCAGCGATCTGGCACACACCTGACGGCCTAAAGGCACCCGGCAGAGGGGCACGGGCCAATGACAGCGCACGCTGCCCTGAGCGGAGCGGAATATCAATGATGCTCAGGCGCTGCACTGCGCTACAGCGGTCGTTTTGTCACTGCAAGGCTGCAGCTCGCCCAACAGAGTGGAATCTTCTGCCGCCTTCCACTGAAAAGCCGCCAGGCAACTGGGGACGCGCAACAGCTGCTGATAGCGTGCACATACGATAACCAGCGGCAGCCTGGCGGAACAGTTTATTAAGCAGAGCACGTTCAGGACAGTGCCACGAATTGCCACGAATTGCCACAGAAGGCAGCAGTTTGCCCCTTGATGCAAGCTAAGCAATTGATGCTACAGAGAATTGATTGACTACGTGGATTTTAAACATATCCTTTTCGCCGCACGGCAGCAAGCATAGGACGGCATCCAATACCTTGATGGCTTCAATTCGCCGGCGTTTTGTTTCGATGAAGTCATACGTCCAAGGTACATTAGTGCCTTGTTAAACTAACCTTTGACAACGCCATTCACCTATGCCATGCAGCTCCAACCATATTCTCACTTCTCAGATATTGTAACCGATGAAACTTTTGACATCAAATCGCCAGTCTATTCAATGCTGTTTTTACCACTTTTCTTTTCATTACCGTAAGCATATATCTAGCTTCGTATCTCGCCACCTGTATTCCGAGCTTCTCTCTCAAGCCACGAATCCATGACCCCTCCTCAGCAGCTTGTGTTCGACTACTACTTGCATCAATCATCCGCCCAGCGTAAGCCATTGCCCTGGCTTATCAGCCAATACACAACCCTTATGGTAATAAACTCCTGGTCTCGTGGCCGCCTCATGTGTCGCTCGTGGTATATCCAATGTCGCCTACCCTAAAACGCAATATGCTGAGTCTGAGGTCTCCCCTATATTGCAACAAACTTGAAACTCAGGCTGCCCATCGACTAAGCTTGTCGTTATCCTTTGAAGCCCCTTTAACCTTCCTACTCGCTTTCAAACGTATTGTTCAGATAGTTGACAAACGACTCCCGTAGAGAATCGGCAGCCATGTTCGTCACCTTCTCCAGCCCAATACCCCCTCTGTTCAGTCCCATGAAGGCCCTACGATGTCTCTGCAGCTCTGGCAAGCCAACCTTTCTCGCCGCTGGCAGCTCAATAACAAGATCCTTCTTGCCACCAGTGCCAAGGGGCACTTTGACCTCTCCACCACCGTCGTCGCCTTGCTGATCCAAGATTCGCTTCACAATGTCTTGTGTTTCACGATCCAGCACGTATAAATAATCGCCACTCGCATCGCGCCCGCGTGGCTCTGTGGCTTGGTTTGGCTTGATAACTTTGCGGCCCTCTCCAGCAATCGCCTCCCAAAGAGAATCAAACGTTCTCTTTACTTGTTCCTCGTCGTCGTCCCATATTACTGTAAACAGAGGGCTGTCCCAGCGAGTCATGGGATTGGGCTCTTCGTGACGGAAGACAAGATTCTCCCAGTTTGCCGGCGCATACGCCTCTGTGGTGTCGCTTGGTGCATCACTTGGTGAATCGCTTGGCACATCGCTCCCCTCTTGCTGGACAGCAGCCTCGTCTCGTCTTAACCTTTCTTCGTTGACTTGCTGCGCGCGCTCTTTGGAGCATCCAATCTGCAGAATGCAGCTCGGCGTTCGGACAGCCTTCGCTTCACAGTGTAGCTGGTACCGCCAGCCTTTGATGTAGTTCAGTCCATCCAGAATAACAATGTCTTTGTCGCTCAAAACTCTCTTTACAGCTCCGTAGATGGCTGCTCTGGCATTCTTTTCGCTCGCATTTGCCGATCTTGCGTGCACCGGCACCGTAGAGAGATCGTATACTGTCCGTGATATCGAAAGAGAGTCGTCTGATACCAGATGCAGCCGGTACTTGGTTCCGGCTATGCGAGCGGTAAGATAATCATGTAGTTGCTTCGCCCGCGTCGACTTGCCCGACGTAGGCAGACCCGTGAGAATGATGAGCTACAGAGAAAACCATGACAGCCATGTTAAAATGGGAACCCCTCTCTTGCAATATTTGGTGGCGTGGTGCTTTGCGCGCAAAGCCACACAGCGAACAACGTACGTACCGGCATCTTGTTGCCGAAGTCAAGGACAGTCTATCCTTGTGATTCTTTTTGATGCTGTCGCATGCATGTGGGCGGAAAGGATTTTGTGTGGCGGTACAGGTACTCTAGCTTAGTGCCGTTTTTTTGGCGGTTCGACGTCACTGCGAATCTTTGCCGGTGACAGACGCCATCCCATTCGGTGTATACGTAGGTAGGTACAATGCATGGGCGCTGTCATGCAAATAAATCGCTTATTGTAAAGGGAGGTTGTAATTATACATGTTACAAGTATTAGGATTGTGCTGCTTTGATCTGTACTTGACAAAGGTTGTCGACAGGACAAATTAAACGGGAGCACGAACGAATTATGACCAATATTTGTTATGATAGATTGTAAGGAGTGAAAATCAACAAAATAGACAAGGAGAAAACAGCTAGATAGTAGGTATATAGACGACGGCACGAGAATCGTAAGTAGCAGTGAACTGTATATGTTAATACTCTTGTGATAATAAGAGCCTTCGATATCGGACAATATCTTAGCATCCTTAGCCGAGCCACTGCCAATCGTTCAAGCTTCGCCTTGGCCGCAGAATCTTAATTGCGGGGATATCTACCTGATTCAATACTGCTTACTGTCACAAGCCGGGCTTCTCCTTGCAAAGCCACCCAAGTTGGTCTTATTTAGTATAGCTGAGGAGGCCTAGGTACAAGATAGTCTCACTAGTGCTCTCTAAGGTAGAGATGACCCAGGACCACGAGGCTTCGTAAACAAGCATTTCGCCTTGGCATATTGGAAACGGTTTCCGCGTAAACTCGGGTACGCCGTCCCGACCAACGAGCCAAACAGAGCAGGGAATACAGCCAAATAGGAAAATATACGTGGCTGAGGCAGCCGTTCTGAACTAAACAATTTCCCTTTTCGAACAATCCATTCGAGGGTTCGCTGCCACTTCTGGCGCAGTTGCAAGTCGCTGCACTGCCTCGACGCGCCAGCCGCAGCCGCTTTTGCAGCGCTCTAGCTCTCAAAACGTCTACCCATTCGAGCAGAAAAGCCTGATGCCCGTATTTAACTAGCCCCGACTACCGATTAAGTGGATTCAAGTGGATCGCGGCAAGCTGATAAGGCACGATAAGGATCGAAAGCCACCAGGGGTAATGGAGATGGCGCTATTCCATAACAGGTAATCAATTCGACGCAGCCAATGAGCGTCGTCAGTTCCTGGGACTTGCGAAATCCTCCAACCTTTTGTTACTCCTTTCGAGGCGTTGACGACGACGACGGGCTCATTAAAAGTGTTTTGGGTGGAGGAGCTGACGAAGGATGCTACTCTTTGCTGTCAGCCTAACTAAGTGAATACGTTTTAATGCGTATGGAGGGTTAGATAGTTCGAATTGAAAAACGTTATATAACTTGAGCGTGCTTCACTTTGCTGCTGGGAACAAGACTAACACCACTATCACCTTATTCAACTCTCAATAGACTCAAGCGACATCTTTCTCCTACTTCAGAACAGAAGAAGAGCGCAATATTTATTTTCATTTACTTGCTTTATTTGTCTTGCCTGCAACCTTTCACTTTTCTCGACTTAAACTCCTCTCCACTTCGACTCAAACTCCGACTTAGACGTGCGCGAGCACACTCTTAACACCACAATGGGCCGCCCTCTTCAAACATACGACGACATCGCCATCGCCGAACTCGCATTCTACGTATTCGCACTAGGAGGAGGCATCTTCCTCTGCATCAAGCACGGCTTCACCAAAAACGCCGGCTTTCGATCCCTCGTGCTCCTCTCTCTTGCTCGAATCATAGGTGCCTCCTTTCGCCTGGCAACCATTTCATCGCCCGACAACATCGATCTTTATATTGGATGGATGACGCTCAATGGTATTGGTCTTGCGCCTCTCATTGGGCTTGCCATTGGTCTCTTGTCTCGCGTTTTCGAGTCCATACAGCAGCGAAAGGGGAGCGTCATTATCAGGCCTCAGTACCAGAGATTTTTTGAACTCCTCTTGCTGCTTGCCATTATCCTCCTGATTGTCGGCGGTACGCAGTCCAACTTCACCATCACCGACGGCAAGCCAAAGGTCGAATATTCCACCATCAGCCACGCCGCCGAGGGAATATTGGTCGCCATCGCGGGTCTCCTGGCCGTTGCCATCGTCATTGCCATCTTTAATCACAAATACGTCGGTGTGGGTGAGCACCGTATCATATTTACTGTGGCTGTTTGCTTTCCATTCATTCTTGTTCGCCTCATCTACTCCTGCCTCCTCATCTTTGGCGGTATTACTTCCACCGCCTGGCTCTATCTGGGCCTGTCCTCTCTCATGGAGATGATTGTCACCCTATTCTCGGAAGTTCTTGGATTCAGCCTGGATAAAAAGGAGGTACAGCCAGTTCCTGGAAACGACGAAGAGGGGCAAGCTTTTAGCAGTAAGTAGGACAACTGCTTTTCGAGAGAGGAGTCTTCAACGGTGGGGATGTTTTTCAGTATGGGTTACTAAGGGCGAATAAAGGTTATAATAGGGTCAGCGCGGAACGGGAATGGGATTATTAAAGTGATAAATACTCTCTTGAGATTTATGGAGAGACAAAGTGATACCTATACAGAGTTTAGATCGTTTTCATTCATTTCACAAAAGAATTATTGTTTTTTAGAATATGTTTAGTTCTTTAGATTAATCTTGTTTACTCTCATTGGCTCCGTTATCCAAAAGTAATCATAGTCGTCTAGATATAATTGAAACGCCATGTGGTATATGTGCATATCCAAAAAGAAAAAAAAGATCCTCGAAGCAAAAAAGAAGCCTTAAATGCTATCCTTATATCCAAGATTTAGCAGCATTATCGTATTTATATTGTTACCGTCCCCCACATCCACTTTACATAACAGTACAGCAAGCCTTTTCCAACTTGCGCAGGAGAACAGGAAGGAGACCCTCGTCGTAATCGTCCTCCTGCTGTTGCTGCTGCTGCTGTTGGTGATGTTGTTGTTGCGGCGGGCGGTGCTGTTGCTGGGGAGGCCGATGCTGGCCACCATGCTGCTGTTCGTGATGCGGCTGGTATCCCTGGTCCTGGTTGCCGCCACCATATCCGCCATGCTGCGGTGGAATAGGCTCTCCGCCCTGGAGATTGATGTATATCCGGCCAGCATTATCCTCTGTGCTATACCTGAGGCCCAGCTCGCGACAGAGTTCCTCTACCTTGGGCTTGAGCTTCTGAACGTGATTGGCCGAGTGGTTGCCCTTGCCGACAATAGCGTGCAAGTGCGTCTGGCCTCGAGCCTGATCTGCGCGGATGCGCTGTTCGAGAATGCGCTCCGCCTCTTCGATGAATTGGCCGTGGAGGTCGATGCTATCAGCGTCGACACGGCCGGGAGCATTGTTCTCGCGGAAGATGTAGTCGGACGCCTGGCGGTTGTACTCCTCCACTTTGGCCCCGTGAGCCTTGCCCTGGTTGGATAATTCCTTTGCTCTGGCGCCGTCACCATCTTCGTACGCGCGCTTCGACTAGAAGCTCCGCCAAAAAAAGCATGTCAGTCTATAGTCGATCCCTTTTTCACAACCAGCGCCCGATGTATGCTATGCTGCGAGGCTGGATACGAAGAGCCATACGGCCGACGGTTCAACATACACGTTCGAAGCAATCGCCACGCTTCTGGGCTTCGGCGCGGGCCATGTCGCGGAGATGGTCGTACTCGCGCTCAACATCGGGGTTCTCCTCATGATGGAAGGCTAGATATCATTTGGTCAGCAAATTCGAGAATCAGGCAGGGCAACCAGCAACTTACCGCGACCGCCCAATCTCGTCATAGGAATCGACATTTTTGCTACCTGTTTAAATGAACAGATTCTGAAGAAGTTCGAGAGATTGAATCTAGCAATTTGGGGCACGAGCGACGCAGCTCAGACAAAGCGCCGTGGTCAAGAGCAAAACTCGGTGGTTGGAAAGCTGGGCGCTTGGAGTTTTAGAAGGCCAATTGAAGAGGGCGGTGCCTGGCTTCGATTTGTTGGCGCGCCGGCGAGTCGGCTTGAACCCGAGCCAACCATATCTGAGGAAATCGGTCGCATTTCAGATCGGCGCCTCCACTGACAGCGCAGCATTCAATAAGCTTACTGCTTTTGCTTCTACCAGTTAATGATGAAGACTATTTGACTCCGCGTTGTGATATTGGTGATTTGCTCAAAGTAGAGATGCGCTATCTTGCGTTCACTAGCATTGTATAGCTACAATATCGGCAAGTTAAATGCACGCCCAATTGGATTAATAGTAAGCTAGACTTGTAAGTCTGTGAGAATCACGTTGTATCAGTTGCAAAGCTGGATTTTGAAGGTAGAAGAAGCACCTCGCATCATCACTAAGGATTGTAAAGGGCCATGTGCAATCCTCACTTTCGCTTTCAACTTTAAGCCAATTTTTACCTTTCGGTCAATTTTTTTTTTTTTTTTTTTTTTTTTTTTTTTGAATTCCTAGGATACTCTTAAGGTACCTATGGTTCTCTTGCAAGAAGGTGATATCATCATACCATACTGTCTAGTAAGTTTAATCATCTGTATTTGATGATATGCTGCGCGACGGTATCACGTTTAAGTTTACCATAGTATGAAATGGCTCAGAATTAAAGGCTTCACGTGTGGAGATTGCTGCTACATTTACACGTGTCGGGCACAGTAACAATCCTACTGAGTACATAACGTCTGTCTCATCACACTTGAATCATCTCGTCGTATTCGCCCTTCTTTCGTCACGCTTACAGCCATCGCCTTGCATGCTCCCCACGTGCGTACCCTAAATATCCCCATCGAGCGTTCGGCTAGATCCCCAGAAGCTCTTCTGGCCTCCAAAGAGATTGCGTCCAAATATCTGCTCTTAATACGATAGTTCCGTCGAGCCAGCCTGCAACAGGATTCGCTGCCTTGAAGCCATGTGTTAATCCCTGCGTGACTAGCAATCTGGTGAATACCAGCAGCGCCCATCTCATGCTAGCAGCCGGCCAGGGCCCGCACCGGTGATGATGGAGAATTACAAGTACGGGCTTGGCGCAGGGCGACGAAATTAAAGAAAAAGAATTAGTACTAGCATGGAGTGCCTAACAGCGTCTATTTCCCGTTTCCTGGAGAAATTCCCGTCGTAATCAAACGTGACTGCCCGTTCCGTTCCTTTGACAACCTCAACCTCACATCTCTGCCCTACCTAAGGCTAAGGCGCTAAAGGGGGCTGCACTCTGCGGTCGGTTCTGTCTCTCTTCCATGCGTGTTCGGAGAACTCCAGACATGCACGGTGCAGTATTCATTTCAGAAGCCATATAAATATCTTGAAACTTGGATGAGATGAGACGAGGGAGGGTCAGCACCGACCAGCTATCCACGTGGATGTAACTCTGCAGATGCGCCGGATGATTCGAGATTGAGCTGAAGAAGGCGAGATGAACGTTTCGATATGGGGAAAGCGAAGAAGCGGTGTGGAAGGTTATTGATGCTAGACTTGTACGCAAGGTCCGACAAGCATTTGCCGGTTTCATCATCTCTTGCAAACGGCATCACGACGTTGATAGAACCCCAGTCTCTAGGCTCGCTTACATGCGACGCTCTCCTCAGAAACGTGCCGCGGCTGGGTACTAAGATATTCAGACACGCGTCGTATTCAAAATTACCAAGATCGAACAGCCGTTGAGAAAAAGAAAAAAATAATGGCAAGGGATCTGTCATTCATTGCCAGCCCTATTACGGAGTATACGAGTTTCGGAAGTAGACAAGGGAACGAGACGGGCATCGTACCCTAGCCGAGTGCCCTGGAGATCGCGGACGCCATCGCGCCAGGGCAATTTTTGAAAAAGCCGCTGCAAACAACCTTCGTCATGATTTTTGTCTGCAACAACCTTGCCGTTCCTTTTGTCTTTTTCCCCGCTCGGCAGTTTTTAATCTTTTGTTTACTTGGTACGGAAATTATAATCTCATGCCATCATACGTTTGCCCACCCACTATTTTAAGAACATATGGTAGGAGTTGCTAATGGGTTGCATGTGTATTTGAATTATATCAAGTACTTGTAGGAAATAGATTCGTATGTCGTACAGAGAGAGTCATGTTCTCATGAAGTTCAACGATGATCACGATGATCAAATCGCCATCCCAGGGGTATAATAGGCCACTACTGCGTCTCTAGCGATTCAGAAGAAACAGATGATCGGAGTCGTTGATCATGGTGCAACGAACTATCATCGGGTTCACGACCTGGAAATAGTTAGATGCAAAGGCTCTAGTATTAAGCTAATGCAATTCGTGATGATACTTTTATCAGCTACACTTTTCTACATGAAATGAAATTGCCATAGTAATCGGCAGGAGGAATACAAAATTGAATCAGAGACAACGTCAACTTTGGCTTGGATCAAAGCAGCAATATACATGCACTTGCACAGCTTGTTTGCGTTTCGTAAGAACAAACACCAACGGCTTTGGCAAGCCTTGAACTGCCCTGTTGCCTGCCATCTCTTTCTTGCAGCCGCCCGCCCCCGGTTCAGGGGACGAAGCCGTTGGAGGCGAGAAGCCCTGCTTGGATTTGGATGATCACTGTCTCATCATCTTCTTGGAATATACAAGATCCACCCAGGGCGAGCGAAAGAGCCGGGCTGATCGCGACGCGCCATTGGCCTGTTGGCTCAGGCATGGGGGCCAGACTGTGCTGCGCTGCGCTGCCAACAGAGAAGTCCTATCAGAATGGCCGCAGTAGTAACTCCTAGATATCAGTTCATCGTTCAATCGGCTTCTCTACAGCGCCAAGCGGAGCATCAACGGTAACTAGCATCGATGCACGAGGCTGCGGGCGCATGTTTCGGGTGACGATGACTGGTTGTGACAATCTCCGAACAGATGCATGTGCTACTGTATGAGGATGCATGCGTGGTATAAGCAATCGTCGAGTCCTAGGCAGATAATAGCGTCATTTATATGCGTTGGAGGCAATCTTGTCTGACAAGTCTTGTTTGCGGTTTGGAATTGTCAGAGCGGCCATGTACAAGTAAGTGATCAGATGATAACCCACGGCCGCTTTGCTGCGTGTAAGAGCTTATCAACGCTCCGTGCCGCTTTACAGCCCGCGACACTGCTTAAGAGGCACAGTATGGAGTACAGTATGCGCTGCTAGGCCATGGTGTAAATGGGGGCAGGTAATGAAGGTCAAGTCAGTCAAATCTGTCTGCGTGTGGGGCAGGCCAGAAGACATGGAGGCTGCTAGCGATTCGGCGCAGTTGAGCGCTCAGGGCAGCACTCAGAGGGCCTGTGACCTTGCCTTGGCAGTAGAGATAGCGCAGGACAGAGTGAGTATCAAGTCTGTGTTACCGCAGTAGCAGATCGAGGCCGCGGAATACTGCCATCAACTGCTGATGCTTCTTTGCGGGACGAGACCGAGTCGATGCAAAAGTCCTCTGTAAACAGTAGTCGTACAGGTGATCAAGCATCAATCCATTGCACTTGTTCCTGACCGGTAGCTGCCCCGTACTCCGTACTAAGAAATGATACCGGTTGGCCCCAGATTGCCACAGGCCAGCCTGCTAGCATTACGGAGTAGCGGGGCATAATGTGTGAGAAAGCTGGTGCATAGCGCCAAACCCAGCATCCATATTTCGTCTGAACCCGACCCCTGGGCCTTGCAGCTACCTTGATTTGGCATTGGCCTCTTTGCCTCCAGTCTTTTTTCCCTTCTCTTCGCGTGACAAGCGGGTGGCCCCTTATTCCACTGATGGACTCGATAGCGACAAGTCTGCTTCGGACGGCAGCATTGTGTTGTACTGCTCGTAGCACTGCTGAGAAGCGACACACTGTAACATGTACTGTGCAGATACAACGAAGTACTGTATACTGCACCTGTGGCCATGAAAATGGTGGCGTGTCTCTTTTAGTTCTTGCTCTGCTTTGCTGCAGCTCGGCTCGAGACGTTCACATGCAGGCAGACTAATGCGCCGCCGCATCGTGTACTGCGTCTGGGCATCTGTGTGACGGCGCGATTGGCATCTATCAAACCAATCGATGCGTCTCGAGTCTGGAGACGCACTGATGGTGTTGTGTATGCGTGTACTTGTATGTCCTTGTTTGGTTGATTGTCCTCTGTCAGCAGTCACAAACACCAGACCGCAGCTACAAACTCACATACTGCCGCCTTGGAAAAAGCAGCATACAGTAGAATTTGCAGTATTGCCTGTAATGGTAAGGCGGACGGCGTGCTCCGTTCCCCATCCGACTTATTGAAATCGAACGGAGCTCCAAGTCCAAGCGTACCGAGACCAGACCGTTGCTCTAGTAATGGGGGCAAAAGTAACTGGAAAAGGCACTTTTCATTTGTTCGAGAAGCCTCGAGCTACGCGACTAGAGCAACTGAGAAACGGAGCAGGCAATATTGTGGTCCTTGGTCGAGACACCCCTAGCTCCCTGGAGGGGCTCCGCTTGTGCAGCAATTGCCCAGGAAGACGCAAATTGTGGCGATCATCAGCGATGGCGAGCAGCGAAGCGCGGTCTATTGTTCCTGTTCTGGAGCCAGACGTGCTAGTGAAGAAGTGAGGAGCATGTGCCTCGCAAGCCTCGCCTCTGAGGTTGCTGACTGCTGCTGCTGCTGCTTGCTAAAGAAGACATGAGACGGTATAGTAACTCGGTATACCGGTGAATATGAATTGGTACAATGCATGTAAATACACTGGAATGTCGAGATAATCTGACAGGAGCAGGCAAATTCACATCGGCAGAGCAAACATGCCACGAGGCAAGCACGTCAGCATCATCAGTGTTAAGATTGAACATCGCCATGGTTTGAATTAGTACCTGCTGCAGCGTCAAATATTAGCCCGGGATCCCCCATGTCCGCCGCCTCCTGCTAGCACATGTGCTCCACCGCGAATGGTTAGCGACTCCAGGCCTGCTTCAAGGCTTCCCGGCGCTCTCACTGGCCCAGACCAGGGGCACAACTGAGCCGGCTAATACCCCAACCCCTGTTCGTGCCAAATTGAGCATCCCAGAGTCCATGTGGCATGATGATTGGCCGCTTCACCAGCACGACGAGGTCTGAGAAGTGAGAGCAGGATATTAAAGTACGGGATACCGCAGAGTAGTGCGTGCGTAAGTGCAGCTAAGCACCGTAAACGCTGGGCAGGCCAAGTACTGGTACCAGCGTCTGATTCATTTTTGAGGGCCCCCGGAGGATTTGTCGAACAGTAGGCAGAGGTAAACGAAGGTGTAGGAGGCAAGCGACCAATTGGCCATGATAAGCATCCATCCAAAGCCTCTTTTCTGCTGTGCCTCGCCTGGTCTGTGTTGCATCACAGCGCCTTGTCTGCGAATGGCGTGGGATTGGCTAGCCGACCCCCAAAGCAGCAAAAGAAGGAAATAGAAAAAGGATTGTCGCCCACGCCGATATGAGGCCTTGCGGCAGCGCTGCCTGCGGGCTCTGCCTTGTCTGCGTCTGCGTCTGCGTCTGCCGATGTGAAAATGGATGGAAATGAAATTAACCGTCATGCTCAGACGCCTGCTCGGTACCTGCACAGTACGCGCCACTGCCCGTGTAACCTGGGTGGGATGTGCAATTAAAAACATTTCATCGCAGGTTCCTTTTTTCGCATCCCGGCCAAGCCACTTACAGCTACTATGCTGCCCTGCTCTGCTCTGCTCTGCTCTGCTCTGCTCTGCTCTGCTCTGCTGTAATTACAGCAGGATGGGTGAGGTGAGGCCCGGGTACAGGTACGGGGCCCAGCAGATGGAGCTTGGCGGGTGCTGCACTCAGTACGCACGGAGTACTCGCGCAAAAGGGGACGCATAGTGCGAAATGACCTCGTTTCAGCACCGCCGCACGCGTCCATGCACTGTATTATCCACCGGTTCGGGCGGACATTGGCCTTGCTGCGCGCACTTTGGCCGCCATAACGTGACGGCTCCTCGCAGCACTCCCTGCTGCAGCGGCGGCTCCACCGCTGGAGCTGGAGCTCTGCCCCTGGCCATCTCCACAGTCCCCAGGGCGCCTTCAGGTACGGTGCAGCACAAGTACTCCCGCGCTCCCTTTTCTCGCGCTGGCGCCAGCACTAGTACAAGTACTTGCAGGTATAGCCCCCTTTGCCGGCAATAGTACCTCCTTCTCGGCCATACCTACTAGCTGTTAGTCCCAGCGCAAGACTCTCAATCCTCCCCCAGCCGCTTTTGCTCCTCTCGCCCCCCCCCCAAATCTCCATTCCGTCGCGGATCTCATTTCCACGACGCCCAATTCTGCGTCTTCAAACCTGCGCACCAACTCTTTCCTTGGTCATCTTCTCTTCTCTTGTTTGCGATTATTTGTTTGTGTCTCGTCTTGAATTGCCCGTCATTGGCATTCATCCTCGCCTAGCAGGCCGTATTCTATAGTAAGCTTCACCTCCCTTTTCCCATTGCTCTTTGCTTTTTCTATTCGCCCTTATCCCGCCTTGGAAAGCCTTTTCTTCCAGTTCTTTTTTTTTTTTTGTTCCGTGGAATAGGGCTTCCTCAACCGCGACGTGTGCTTTGCAGTTATCTTCGACTACTGGCGATTTCGTGAGCGACCGCGACGCGATTTCTTGGTTTCGAGTCCTTGTCGCTTCCACTGGTTGCGTAGCGTGCATCCCATCGCTTGCATCCCATCGCGAATTGCTCGTACGAGCCGCTGGCGGCACGACCTTTTCTTCGGCGAACTGCCTTGGCTAACAGAACCTGCTTGTCCACAGTACCTACCATTCTGCATCGTTGGCGACTCCAGGCACGCAGCATATACGCGAATCATTCATTTACGCCTTAACAAGTTTCTTCTTTTAAAGATTTAATCAGAGCAGCCGCCACAACCGCCAAGATGGGTTGCGGAATGTCTACAGAGGACAAGGAGGGCAAGGCCCGGAACGAGGAGATTGAGAACCAGCTCAAGCGAGACAAGATGATGCAGCGTAACGAGATCAAGATGTTACTTCTGGGTACGTATTGCCGTCGGCCGCATTCGATGCAGAGATTTAGGCCAGTTTATTTAGCTACTGGATCTGCAGTCCGACTAATTCTGCTTACCGATAGGTGCTGGTGAATCTGGAAAGTCTACTATTCTCAAGCAGATGAAGCTGATCCACGAGGGTGGCTACTCCCGCGACGAGCGCGAGTCGTTCAAGGAAATCATCTTCAGCAACACTGTGCAGTCGATGCGCGTCATTCTCGAGGCCATGGAGTCTCTTGAGCTGCCCCTTCAGGACCAGCGCATGGAGTACCACGTCCAGACCATTTTCATCCAACCCGCTCAGATCGAAGGCGATGTCCTGCCCCCGGAAGTCGGCGGTGCCATCGAGGCCCTGTGGAAGGATCACGGCGTTCAGGAGTGTTTCAAGCGGTCTCGCGAATATCAGCTGAACGACTCAGCAAGATAGTTAGTCTCCCCCAGCTGCCTCTCCCTCTCGCCCGCTTTAGCCGGCACCGCCAAAATATCGCTCGAATGCTGACCGCTACCACCAGTTACTTCGATAATATCGTGCGAATCGCCGCTCCCGACTATATGCCCAACGACCAAGACGTGCTCCGATCACGTGTCAAGACGACTGGTATTACTGAGACGACATTCATCATCGGCGATCTGACCTACCGAATGTTCGATGTCGGTGGCCAGCGATCTGAGCGAAAGAAGTGGATTCACTGCTTCGAGAACGTCACAACCATTCTGTTCCTGGTCGCCATTTCCGAGTACGATCAGCTGCTGTTTGAGGATGAGACTGTCAACCGAATGCAAGAGGCCCTGACGCTCTTTGACTCAATTTGTAACTCAAGATGGTTCATCAAGACGTCCATCATTCTCTTCCTCAACAAGATCGACAGATTCAAGGAGAAGCTGCCAGTCAGCCCGATGAAGAACTACTTCCCCGACTACGAGGGTGGTGATGACTATGCGGCGGCGTGCGACTACATCCTAAACCGATTCGTCAGCCTGAACCAGCACGAGACCAAGCAGATCTACACGCACTTCACTTGCGCCACAGATACCACCCAGATCCGCTTTGTCATGGCGGCAGTCAATGGTATGCAGACTAGTAAACTCTTAACTTTTTGTGTTCCAACTTACTAACTCTCCGCGCTAGATATCATTATCCAGGAGAACCTTCGTTTATGCGGTCTCATCTAGACGACTTGTCTTTTCTCTATTTTCATTTTTTCTATTTTTGTTTTAAAGACGCACGAATACCCTCAAACTCGATTACGACCGCCACCAGATGGGCCACGGAGATACGGCTCATGATCTTTGATTGTACTCCTTGCGAGATGAAAGCCGGCTCAAGGAATTTCTCTTTTCTTTTCTTGCGGGCTTCTCCTTGGCAATCTTTCCACCGTCCTAGATAATGGTACTTCTTTTTTCTAAAGTTGAGACTCTAATGGCGAAATCATTTCGGCATTTTACAACACTTTTGTGAGAGCCGCCCCACCATCGCAAGGATTGTCGAGAGATGCTTGTGTATTACCAAAAATAAAACTTGATTCCTCTGTTGTTTCTTTTTCGACTCATCAAAAAGAAAAAGGAGCGTGGGCAGGGGAAGGGGATAAACGGAGCGTGAAAGTCTTGGGCGTGGAGGAGTTGTGTGAGCCGTCTTAGGGAAGAAGAAAAAGCAGGCGCGGCAGCTCTTTGGGAAGAAAGGGGACGGGATACATACTACTTATTACCTTGTTTTTTCAAATTTTTCTCTTTTTTATTTTACATCTGACACGATGGTGCGAATGGGCGGCGGCCATTTACTTTGTTTAATTATGAAACCATATTCTTCTGCCTTTTTCTGCCTGTCTGCGACTTTGTATTTTGTTGTAAACAAACACTCAATGTATACTCTCCATTATATTCCAATATCTGCTTGTGTACTTGCATCTTTATGTTAAATCTTGCTCCTCTCATTGATGTTGCGATCGTCTGTAATCATTGTTGTTTCCGCCCTGTATTAGTTGTTTTTGTTCTTTCACGTTCATCCTTTTCCCCTTTTCTTGGAGCTGAGCCTTTGTGTAATGTCTACTACACCTTTATATTGTTTATAAGTTGTTAGAAAGAAGAGTGTAGAAGCGGGTAGTATGATTTTCTCTATCTTGTTTTCGAGATGGTGAGAAGCAACATTTTTGCTAGAGGTGGTTGTACAATTACTTAATTTAATGTAATAAAGTCATGAATATCTTTTTTCCATTTCTTCTCTGCATGGTGCCTTGTTTCTTCTACTGCGTAGAATATATTCTTGTTTCGCAATGTTGATTTATGCATCCATAGCGACGGAGCGTGAACAATGCGCATAAGAAGAGGAGGTATTGCACGCAAGTGCCCAACGATTGATACACACGAAGACGTATGAACCTTTGGATGAATTTATAACAACGTACAAGTATATGGCCAATGCAAGAATCAAATGGGTATTGTATATGCTATACGTCTTCTTCCTGAGCTTGCAAACTATAAAACCTGAGTATATATCCTCACAAAGGGTCATGTCAAATCCTCAAATATCAAATTTCCATATGCGCGTAAAATCGTGATCAATTTGTCGTGGCAAATCGCCAGCCAGGGCAGAGAGATGTGCCCAAATGTCCAGAGAGTATATAGTCAATATAATAGAAAGAAGAAAGCGGAAGAAGAGCACTGTGTCGACTGGCCAAGATGAAATATAAAACAAGAATTGAAAGTAGAAAAGCGTCTGCAAGATCTTGGGCCTTTTCTCCAAATGCCCCTTGTTATGTGCGTGCCCAAAGTGAAAATATCGTCGTGCAGAATGCGTCTCATGCTGATCAAATGAGATAAAGTCTTCAGAATATGCACAAGCCTCTCTTTGTAGCCGCAAGGCCTCTATGGGTAGATGGTAGCAGCTCAAAGTTAAGCGAGGAGCAGTAAGAAATTACCCTCTGGAATCATCTATGGTTCAGAAAGTTAGTATTCAGAAATAAGTTGTAGGGTATCGGGGCACATATACACACATAATCATGTCATATGCTGGCCGAGGTAGGTAGGTAGGTAGGGCTGATGTAATGCCTTTTACAATATGTGATGGCATATCCTTCTCTTGTCTTCAACATCATCTCCATGCTGAAAGAATAGAAGGCTGAGACATGGCCAAAAAAGTAGCTTGGGAGAGCAAGACGAGAAATGCTCAAGAAAGAATATCGTCCGCAGGGGCATCGTCCATGGCCTCAGTAGCCTGCGTGTCTCTATTCTGCGTGCGATCTCTGTCGAGGGCAGCATTATGCTCCGCAATACCCTCTGGCGTCCGGAGGTACTCTTCGTATTCTGCGATTCGCATGCCGAGCTCCTTAGCAGCGGCTTCGATTCTCGCGAGGAAACGATCTCTTCGGGAGAAGGTGCTCACGTCAGTGATTGTCTGGGTGATCAACTGCTTGGTCGACTCGGACAGACCCCAGTGGTTGGCCTCTGTCGAAAGATTGACATTGGATGGCGGTGGCTGAGTGATTGTGGGCTGTGAGAATAGGAGATTGGCTCCTGAGGCGACCGTTGCTGCGAATAATGTTTGTGGTTGCTGATGGTTGTTCTCTACTTTAGATGGTTAATACGAAATATCTCTCTCTGGTGGAAGGGGAATTGAAGAGGGAGAAGCCACTCAAATCACAGAGGCTCCAGTCAGAGACAAGACGAAAGCAAGTGCCCGTGACTCACGTGGGCAAAATGGGACAAGAAATGGAAACTTACCATGAAACGTGCATCTTGAACCGCTCGCATTGAACCAGCAATTGGTGCAGCTTCCACACATCTGGCCATCGTACACCACGCACTGGGTCCAGGGACCGTGGCCCTTGTGGCAGTTTTTGCAAGACTTGGGAGCCATCTGGCCCGTCATGTGGGCAAGCAAGGCCTCGACGTTGCTGCGCCGCTCAATGTTGAGCTTCTGGTCCACGCGACGCTGAGTCGGCTCACGTAGCGCCGTTTCGGCCGCGAGCTTCTTGCAGAGCGCGCTGTCGATTTTGACCAGGTCTCCGTAGGCGGCGTAGGCGAGATCGGCCGCAGTGCGGGCAGCTGGATCTTCTGGCGACGAGTGATCAGGCATCTGGTGGTCCAGCTGAAATTCGTCGCGGATGGAGGTGCCCAGAGACGTGCGGATCGAGGCCATTGAGCCCCCATTTGCGAGCAAATTGACAGCCGTGAACTTATCAATGCCGTCGATTTGACTTTCTTCAAGAGCGTCAGCCTCGGAGATGGAGGTATCGAGGGCATTGGCGTCTTGATTGGCGTTTGAAGTGGAAGTGGCATTCGCATTGGCAGCCTCTTTGGCATATTGCTTGAGCTGCTCTTGAGCAGCAATGGAGAGAGATGAGCGGCTGGCACGACGAGTGCCAGACCCGGGAGAGGGTTTGGTCACTTTATTTGGGCGCGGCCGGCTAGGCATGACTGGCAATTGTTGGTGACCCAGTGAGGCTCAGGATTTCTTCGAGCTGGCAGCAGATGAGCGTGTAAGTGAGATGGAATGACGATGAGGTTGGGTGGGAGTGGCAACAGCTGGGCGCAGCTGCAAAAACCTGGCAACGCGAGGAGCGCGTGGGGCATTTAGGCAGAATTTATGCTGATACTGTGCTTTGGGTTATCATTTTGCATTGGCTGGTCAACCCTCGCACTGTGCCATGTTTCTCTCACACTCCAATGCTTCTCAAATGTGCTCACGTTATCAGAGCCAAGTCACTTTCGGTTCACTTTGGAGGCATACCAGCTTTTGTGTTAGCTTTGCCGTAGGATTTATGACTTTATGGATTTGTTCTGGTTTATGCTCTAGAGTTGGGTTGCTCCCAGATGCCTTGAGCTCTACCCTCTGTAATCTCCTTCCATCGCTGGGCAAATTCCCTTAGACCCCCTTCTCCAGCCAGACTGGCGTCGACGACTTCTTTAGGCAGTTTGTGAGCTGAGTACTGCGGCGAGCTAAAGTTGTACGCCTCCGGGTCATTCTTCTTGACGATGCGGACTTCTGGCTGGCGATTCGGGTCGTACTCGTTATTATCCATCTCGTCTGCCGTAGTCTCGTCTCCACTCTCCTCTGCTGTCTGATCTTCCGAGACGGACCCATACAACGGGTTCTCAACTTCCATTGTGAGAAGCTCCTCCCATGAGAAAAGCAGACTGTCTGTGCTGGGGGCCCATGGGTTGATATCCATGAGCCTCACTTTCCCCAAGCCATCTTCGGCAAAAGAGTTTCCGGGGATATAAATGTCAAACACAAAGGTTGAGTCGGGAAAAGTGAATCTCAGCTTCTGACGGAAGAACTTCATGATCTTCTTCCATAATTGGCCTCGAAGCGGCTCGAGAAATTCGTAGTGGTTAAGATCCCGCTGTGTAATGCCAATAATGGATCTATGCTTTACGAAGCACCGGAATTCGAGAGCCACATGAGGTGTGAAGAAAGGTCTGAGGACAAGAACCGGAGCGAATGGTCTCAATGGTGGGGCATCGGTACAGTCGTCAAATGCGTGAAGGAGGTCGTGCGAAACGAAAGAAGATGACTTCAAAAGGAGATAGATGTCGTTGGGGGATGTGCATTTGAGCGTGTTCTGGTGTGGTGATATCCATTTGGCGTCCTTTGGAGACGACCAGTTTAGCTTTGGCGCAACGGAGCCACCAAGCTCTGCGATTTTCTGCTTGATCAACTCATGAATCTCCGGGAAGCGTTTGTTTGGTGGAAGCCTCTCCTCCTCCTCTTCGTCGGACTCTTCGTCGGACTCATATGGAGTGATTCGCGGGTGGGTAGCAGCAGGAGTCGACCATTCTTCATCTTCTGGCTCGTTTGTCTCATCATCATCTGCGAGAATAATGCCATCTTCGTGTAAATATGATACGAATGCGGGAGACAGTGGTATTATTCGCGATTTTAGACAAGAGCTCCGGTACTTGGGAAACCATGCTTCGTATGAACAATTTTGGATATGATCTCTACTGATGGGAGGGAACTTGACAGCCGCTTCGTCATAATCAGCTAGGTGTGGCATTTTGAAGAAGTCCCCAGCTGAAAATTGATCGTTCTGAAAAGGAACAGTAATAAAAGATGTCTCAAGAGATGTGCAAGGCCGCTTAAATGAGCATTCAGTCCTACGCTCAGAAATGTTGACTCATATTCGATTCTGCAGGGTAAGAAAAGTGCTAGAGGGGCAATTTGCCCCTCCGTTATCGAGTTCTGCCGTGCTTTATCAGCGGGAAGGATTCACCGCCCAGTGCTAACCTCCACTGTCTCGGGTCATTACTGGCCGCTAGAGCCGCTAATGATGACATTTGCTTGCAGTTGCAGGCCTAACTTCTGCAGAGCGCAGCAATCTCGACGCGACACACGCCAAAGGCACCTACGTTCCGCCGAATTTAATCAAAGCAGCCATGTCGGACAACGTCGGCCTTTCGACTCCACGAGGAAGTGGCACTTCTGGCTATGTCCAGCGAAATCTTGCCCAAGTCAGGCCGCGCGACTATGGCGCGCCGTACCCAAAAGACCGGGACATGCGACACAAGCAGAGACAGCCGGATAAAGGGATCCTCGAGCATGATCGCAAGAGAGAAATCGAAGTGAAGGTGTTCAACCTGAGAGACAAGCTCGAAGAAGAAGAGTAGGCGGATTTCTTGGCTTAGGAAGCGAAGCTGCCGTTCTAACATATCTCTTAGGGTCGAGGAAGAGGAGATTGATCGCCGCTGCGATGAATTACGAACGAAGCTGCTTGCAGAAATGAATTCTAGGAATAAAGCCAATGCGCCGAGAAAGACTTTCAAAGAGCACCAGGTACACGAGATGGCCGATGCCAAGATCAAGGAAAGCGAGCGACTAAGAAGAGCTCTTAAGATCAGCTCTGACTACGAAGAAGGAGGGCATTGGAAGAAACAGGAGGAAAGGTTGAGGGATTCCCTGGCAAAGAAAGAAGATGATGAAGAGAAGGACTGATTTACTTACGCGGCACTGTTAATGGCTTGCGGGTTGAGACAGCGATTTACCATGCTACTACCAGTCTGCTTGCGACTGGTGCTAGTAAACGAGCCGTACGACGCCTAAGGGGGCGATCATTACGGATATGCACAGAACGATAATCTCCAAATACTCAGGGCGTCATGAGTCCCTTGGCTTAAAAGCGTCCCTGCTATGCTATTGGTTCAGTCGATGGATGGTTGATGGAATACAGGGCTTTATCGGTGCATTTACTGTCCAGCCTATTTGAAAGGACGCAACTTATGGACAACATCATGATTTGATTTAATAGCGACTCTCTTCAGACTTCTTTAATCATTATTTGAGCGGCAACGGAGTATGCGGCGTTATCGAGGACTTACGGACCTATGACGATTCTTTATATCTTGGATATCTCATTGGAAATTTTAGGATATCGGTAACCACGCCGAGCTCCGGCAAGGGGACGCAATGCGGAATATGGATTTCAGTGAATAGGTATATTTCCTACTACTAACACAAAGCTCGAGGTGTATTGGCAATATGCTCTGAGACTGGAGCCATTGCGAAAGAACCCCGCGTGGGTGCAATAGCATACCTATTATTCTTAATTGAACATGAGAAAATGCAGTATAATAGAATTTTTATAGATTTCGTAGCGGCCTTGTACAGTAATCTGAACTTGAACAACGCCGATCTTTTCGTCTTGCAGTGACATCGCCCATAGCAAAAGCGGCCTGGTTGGCCCAGCTGTGGCGCACTGCCTAGCTTCAGCCACAGACCCTTCTAGCGACGTAATGCTACATGCGGCAGGACTACCTCTTGGCCTGTCTCATGCCTGGAACAACTTCTGTCGCAAACATCACCAGCAGCCCAAACAGACCAATTCCAGGACCATCATGACATTACTTCCTAATTTGCCTGCCGGCGAACCGCCGAACCTATCTCCAGCCGAGCTTGCGCAGCTCTTCTCCCGATTAAAGCAGTCTGTGCTACATCCGAGTCCCGAACGTGAACGAAGGCTGCGCAACAACGAGTTTGAGAGGACGAGGGTCGAAGCTGTAAGGCTGAGCGAATATGTCGCAATTGTTACGCTGCTAACGAGTCTTTATAGAACCTTCAATATGCGCGGGCGGCGCTCACAAAACTAGAACAAACGCTACCGGGGAGGAGAGCAGATGTACAGGGCGATCTCACAGCGCAAAGGGAAATCCTGGACTTATTATTTGACCGACTAGACGACCTGAGAAAGGTAATTCGCCCTTGATACAGAAAGGCTCAGGACAAACTAACATGACTGTCAGGTGGCTGCAGACGAAGATGATTCATCCGAAGGGGAAGATCTTCTAGGAGACATCATACCTACTCCGAGCGAGAGCGTAGATTCGAGACGATCGTCTAATGCGCCGGGAGGAGACTCGTCTGAAGAGCCCAAAATACCAGAGCCCGAGCCCCCTGAACCTCCGACGCAACATGAAACCATACCCGAGCCTCCCACGGCTGCGACTGCGATTGAACCTGCTGAGACGAGTACAAGCGACGTCCTCCCTACGCAAACGACACAAACATTGCGCGCCCGCTCCTCAGCACCCTCTCCAACTCCTTCATCCCACAGCACAGCTCGCGCTGCATTATTTGCCAACCGCCGCAAACCTGCAAGCCCCCAAGCTTCGACAGCTACGGCAGAGGCTATTCTTGACCAGCAGCGAGTAGAACAAGACGCCATTTCGAACTCTATTCTTGACTTGGCGACTAAGCTAAAGGAAAGCTCAAAGAGCTTCTCAGCAACTCTCGAAGAAGACAAAAACTTACTTGATGCTGCTGGGAGTAGCATGGAGAAGTCGGAATTGAGCATGGAGGCGGCACAGGGCCGGATGGGGTCTCTTAAGAAGATGACTGAGGGGAAGGGGTGGTGGGGGAGGATGATACTATATGCGTGGGTATATGGCTTAATGGTGGCGTTGGTATTGTTCGTATTTGTGTTTCCAAAATTGAGATTTTGAGTGAGAGTCAGTGATGTTTTGGAGGCAGAAGTTGATGCTGATGGAGGGGATCATGACGAGGACAGTTGTAACGATAATGATATTGTACAGCATAGATGAGAGCGTTATTATTTCTTGGCTTAATGTAATACTAAGCGAACAAAACTATCTATTATTATCCCTACCTTTACTCAAAAGCTTGATCTCATGTCTTGAGCTCGCAGGAAGATGCTTGTTGAGTACATGTAATAGCTCAGTGGCCTTCTCAGCGGAGTTTTGAATGACGTGGATCTGATACCAAGTCATTCAGGCGACTCCAAAATCACATCAGATACACACCAGATTGCGGTTGTTTCGGTACTTCTTCGCCCTCCTCCATCTCCTCGACTTCTTGAGACATTACATACTCTTCCGTTTCAATCTTGTCTCCCGAGACACGGCTCTCTTCGTCATCATCCTTGACGCTGAATTCTGAAGGAGACTGGGAGTTTGATTCAAAGTAGACTTCATCAACAGGAATGGCATCATGAGCGCAAACATCCATGGCTTGGCTTTGTAGCTCCGTCACCGCGTCCTCGTCTATGTCTTCGGCTATTTCTTCATCTTTGGCTTCAGCTGCTTCTTCATCGTTGGCTTCAACTGACTCTTCTATAGGAGGCCAAGGCAAGCCTCGCTGCTGGGCGTTGATTTCCAGACAATAATCGTAGCAAAATCGAAGACGGCGTCCGACGGGTTTTCCGCCTATCTAACCCAACCCCCTTTTTAGTATCCATGTCCAATTAAACACTGAGGAGCAAGAAGCTCTGAGATAAGTCGACTTACCGGCGGTGAATACTGGAAGAACGACTTCGGCATGGTTTTCTGCCCCAACACGCGATCTTGCCACTCGATGCCCGTCTTGATGCGGAAAAAGTCCATGAAGAGATCCATTTCTCGGCGCCATGGACCGGAGCAGGGGCTTGGACGGTGGAAGCTGGGCTGACTGTCTCCTTTCTTCTTCATAAATTTGGCGGTGAACCAGTAGAGATGGGGCTTGGCATTGGATTCCCAGAGCTATTGTTTTTGTTTAATTAATTTGGAATGGGCATGATTTGTCATATGGCTGTTGGTAGATTGCTTACATATAGAGTATATCGTTGCCCTAACTCTCCCTTTTCGTCGTCATCGCGGTTTATGTCGATTTGATATGAGAAAAACTCTCGATCGATGTAAATGTGGAACAAATCTAGGGATGTTGGGTTAACAAAGACTCTTAAACGCAAATTTGCAAAGGTAAGACGTATATCTTACTGGTATTGACGGCCCTTTCGCCCTCTCTCTTCCCTTTCTCAATCCGAGCTAATTCTCTCTTCGCGGCGTTTTGTTTCGCGAGAATGTTTCTCATGGAATAGTCTCTCTCAGGCTGTTTCTTGTCATTAACGGCGGATATCTCGAACCAGTCGCAGTGGACAATGTGTTGTTGTTTTCCTCTGGCCAGCGCCTCTTTGACTATAACTCGGTCAGATGGTTGTATATCCAAATTGAGAGACGTAATGATAATATAGGAGTTACTTCTTGGAAGTTTTTGATTAAACTGCTCTCGAGTGCATAGGAGATGCGTGACGTGCTCGTCAAAGCCCTCGATGAAGACTCCTTTCCGGATTGTAGTCCATTGTCGAAGGCTGTCGACGGTGAGTTGGCCGGGAAGAGGGCCTGCTGCGGCGATGACGAGGTTTTTAAATATCCGACGAGGCATCGTTGTGAAGTATAGACAAAAAGAAGAGGCGAAGCTGCGAAGAGATGAAGAGATTAGCAAACGTCTGAGAGTTAGGTATTGCCTTGGAGCGGTATAGTAGGTAAGTAAACTCTAAGAGGATAAATGGATCGATACAAGGAGGGCGTGGTTTAAAGGTTGAGAGATATGCAGCAGAACGAGCTAGTATAAAATGCATTGGCGGTGTGGTAGTAATTCCTTCGTAGACAGCTTGTAAGAGAGGATGGAGTTATCTGGTGTTGCGAAGACAGATGCGATCAAGGTCAGCTGCGGCGTGGACAAATGCTTTGTATAATTGTCCGCAAACTACTTGCCTCTAGCCATTGAAACAAAGACAACGTTTGAGTGTCACTCAAGACTTAGATACCAGATGTGATAATGATCAAGTTGTGATGAATGGCAGAAGCATATATTGAGTATATCTAACTACACATTGTCCATCCATTTATATCCCAATACAAGATCTCTATACTTGTCTAATTACCTAATTGCCTTTCCGGCATTGACAAAGGCAGTGATTCTAGCCAAGCTTTGCTTGCCATCCTCCTCAACACCACTGCTCACATCCACTCCAATCACCTGGCTGCTGTATTCCCCTAGGGCATTGACTGCTTCTGCAACATTTTCGGGGTTGAGGCCTCCAGCCAAGAAGATTCTGAAATTTGGGTCTTTTCGTAAAATCTCCTTTACGCTTGAGACATCCAACAACTTGCCGGACCCGGCCCCAGAATCCAGCAGAGGTACGGCGTGATACCCTCGGACACCGAGACTGGGATGTCCAGGCTTGAAACAGCGGATGACGGGAACTGGAATAGCCTTGGCCCACTCAATCGGTTCCTCGCCGTGAAGTTGCACTATATCCAAATTGTAAAGCCTCTGCAATTCCAAAACTTCGTTAAGGGGCTGGTTCTGGAAAATGCCAACTACCTGCGTACGAGGGGTCTTGAGGTTTTTTGTTGTCAATGAGAAGAAATCTGTGGCGCTTGATGTAGGGATTGAGAGTTTAGCGGGGGCTTCTGATGACTTGGTAGCTGAGTGGACTGCGTCTGAGATGGCCAAGGCAACCTCGTGGGAAACAGCTCGCCTGGCTCCAGGGACTAGGTTAACGCCAATAAAATCGGCACCCGCCTTGACTGCTTCCAAGGCAGCTTCCACGCTTCTTGTGCCGCAGATTTTGACGTGCAATTTCTCAAGTGTGTTGTCTTTTGGCGGTGGTTTGCTGCCGGAGCATAGTTCGCTGATGAATACCGAAGCGTCTGGGGCTCTCATAATGGCCTCACCGACAAGGACAGCATTGATACCATCTCTCTTGCAGTCCAAAACGTCTTGGTGCTTATTGATACCGCTCAGTGCGCAAATGATGGTAGTATCGGGCACCATGCTTCGTAGTCGACCCGTGGTGTTGATATCAACCTCAAATGTCTCGAGGTTTCGGTTGTTGACACCAATAGCCTTGGCACCAAGCTTAACTGCAATCGTCATTTCGTCTGCGTTCTGCACCTCTACTAAGGGCTCCATTCCCAGAGACTGCGAGTACTTGTACAAACGTTCCAGTAGCTCGACCTCGAGCATTTTGACGATCAACAGCACTGTATCCGCTCCCGCCAGTCTTGCCTCTAGAATTTGATACTCTTCAAAGATGAATTCTTTTCGAAGAATGGCTGGTCTGTTTGGCATGCCGTTCAAAACTTGGCGGACGGCTCTCAGATCTTCGATGCTTCCCTTGAACCATTCGGGCTCTGTCAAAACAGAGATGACACTTGCACCAGCCAGGGCATACTTGTGAGCCTGAACCGGAGCCTGAGTTTCTAACGCGAAGACACCTTTGGACGGGGAGCCACGCTTAATCTCCGCCATGAGAGATACGTCGAAAGGCGTCTGCTTCAATCGGCTGACGAATGGCACAAGGGGAGGAGCAGCATTCAGGTCGTATGCAGCTTGTAGATCGCTCATTCGCTGAGATGGAATCTCCTTTTGCTTTGCTACGGCAACTCTTCGGCTTGCGTAGATGTTCTGAAGGATGTTGTTCTTTTGCGGCTTAGTTGCAGCAGGCTTAGCGCTGCTTGCCGACGTAGCCTTTTGAAGCCGTTCATTCTCTTTCCAAGTACCACCTTGCATGTGGAGGAAGTTTTTGATCATTACACGGCCTTCAGCTGTGAGGATACTCTCCGGGTGAAACTGGACACCCTCAAGGACAAATTCCTTATGTCGAACGCCCTGAATGATTCCGGCTGAGCCATCTGGCTTGTCCACCCAAGCAGTGACTTCAAGACGCTCGGGCAGAGTGAGATGAGTACCAGCAAGCGAGTGGTATCTGGTCACTGGAAGACCCTGAGGCAGGCCAGCAAAGACACCCTTGGCATCGTGAGTCAAGGGAGAGGTCTTTCCGTGCAGCCATTCACCAGCGGACGAAACTTCTCCGCCATAGACGTCAAACATGCATTGCCTTATATTATGTAAGTTTCATGAAACAACTAATTTGTGGAAGCTAATGAATAATGAAACGAGGAGAAAACTTACAAGCCCATGCAGACTCCCAAGACGGGAATCTTTCCTGCAAAGTGGCGAATCGCATCTCGACTGACACCAGAGTCTGTCTGAGGGTGGCCAGGGCCCGGGCTGATAATGAGCTGAGTGGGATTCTTCTTGATCAGCTCCTCAACCGTGATCTTGTCATTTCTGAAGACATGGACCGTGGCTCCTTCCAGGACGAGGTACTGGTAGATGTTCCAGGTGAATGAGTCGTAGTTGTCAATGAGAATGAGGTTAGAGGCTGTAGCGACTGGCGGAGACGGCTCCGGCTGGTGAGGCGAGTGGTCGATGATACTGAGAGAAGCCATCTTGAATTTGAACGAAAAGGACGCAACTGTCGACGAGAACAGAGACTCAGGCCTGGAATCAGGATGACAGTCTGGTAAGCTGAAAGAAAGAAAGTTTGCTCTTCCAACGCCAGCAGTCAGAATGTCTCGCCTTGCTATTGTCAAATGAGTCAGCCAGACTAATAAGAAGAATGGAAACAATTTCTGGCAGCGCCACTTATTCAATTGCTTAGTAGTAGCTCTAGCCAGCGAGCCAACGCCTGTTCGAGTTGCCGATAAGACGCCGATCTATGTGGCATCGACCAACAAAATGCGGAGTCAGTCAGCGCTGGTCCGGTAGTGTGATTATACAGTGCAATCTGTTTTGAACACAGTATGAACTAGCGCGGCTGAACCTCGGGTTCCTGGGAGCTTTGCCAAAAAAGTTAGCCATGCAGCTGTTGTTGATGCTGCCGCCGAGCAGAATCCCGTAGTCCATTGCCAAAAGCGCGTCAAGACGTGAATCGCCAGCGCTCTCGCACGAACAATTGAAGGTGATGCGGCGAGCATCTCTGCCGCCTTATTGACAGTCGTGGCAATGGCGCCGGTGGCCGATAGCAATTATTTTCCCTCCGTGGGACAGTGCCTCTCTGGGGAGAAAGAGCTTGTGTGAGTACAGCGCTTTGGGCGAGATGGGCGGGATGCAACTAACAGCAGCATCCAGGTCTTGGAAGCTCGTCGCCACCGCGCTTTCAGACGGTACCGGGCAGAGACAAAGGAGCTCTGCCATCACAAAGTTCTTCGATGACGACTACGTCCGTGGACTCTTGCGCGAGCCGTCGACCGCGTTTGCGCCGCCTGACGAGGCCACAAACAAGGACTTCGAGACCAAGACGGCACCAATTAACGTGACCTCAGCTTCGACCGATCGACACGATATCAATGTTTTCAAGGAGGATGCGAAGTGGCTCAGCAGGAATGCCAAGGTAAACTTGGTAGCTGCCCTGCGAGTTGTCATCATTGAGTACCAGTCCCGTTCTTCAAGGCACCTTTTGGGCCCTCTATCATCCCACGATGCTGCCAATCTCCAAGAAGCTGCGGGCTTGCAAAATGGCCAAGGAGCAGCGTTTTTATCTGAGATGGGCGCTTCCGCAGCATGGGATGCCGACGAGATTTCAGCAGAATTCGAAAACTCCGAGTCGAAGAAGCGTCGCCTGTTCGATACCCTGTTGACCGAACGTCGTTTTTTCATCATGGCTGCGGACTATGCAACCTCCATCAAGCTGTACAAACGCCTTCCTATTTTCGCCCCTGGAGACGACAGCATTGCCGATTTATATAAATTGAAGAAGCCGTCTGCTCAGCTACGCGATGAGATGGAAGATCTGTTGCCGGCCTATTTAGGCATCGTAGCAAGCAGCATGAGTGGGATCGAGGCCGGCATGAGAGCCTTTACAGATGAGGCCTTGCTTCTTAACGACGAAGTAGAGCTTGATTGGCTTCGAAGTCTCCTGACCGAGATTGTTCACAGTCTGTCCGTGGTTCTTCAAGTAGTAGACTGTTATGGAAACGACTTCCCTCCCTCTGCAGCCATCAACCAATGGTTTTCCCTGATGGAAATCTATGGCTTCTTCGATTCCATTCAGCCAGTATGTGCTGCGCAAGTCCTTCCACCTTATACTAGCTAACCAGCGCGCAGATTAACCAAATCACTGCTGAGCTCATAATGCCCATGAAGGCCTTGGCTTCAGCCATCTCGATCAGCTTGCTTAAACCTGCAAAAGCACTCGCATATCTATCTGACCGAGACGAAGATCCGGCACAGGCTGACAATGTATACGATTCTTACTTGCTCTCGCCGGATGTCCTCGAACAGATCCACAAAAGCATTTTGGACGCGGCTGGCCTCGACTCTGAAACTGCCTGCCCCATCATTTTCACCTGGTCATTTATCCTTCATCGACTCAACATCTCTTATCAAACCAGATCTGATAGAAGAGATAATCTGCTTCAGCAGAGCGCCCGAGAAAGATTTGAAACTCGAAGTGTGATGCGCACGCCTACCGGAGGACGGCGAAACTCTGCTGGAAGCATATTTTCCATTGAATCCTCCAAATTCGATGGATTTCTCGAAAACTCGTCAACCCCTAGAGATATGCAGGTGGTCGAGCAACTCGCAGCGGTCGCCACGGTTCAAGGCCGAGTCTTTGATGTAATGTCGAAGATGATCCAAGCTCTTGGCCCGTCCGTAGACGGTAGCATGTCACCGCTAATTAGCTCGCGTCTTCGCGTAGTCTTCCTAGAGCTTTTGAAGGTTTCATATCCCTTTGTTGGATACCAGTCGGACTCTGTGAGCTGTCTGCTCTCCCTTCTTTCTCCTGGATGCGGTTACTGGGACTTATCTGCATCGGAAAAGTTGCCCCCATCCCAAGACTTCCTTGCATCTGTGTTGCAGGATGACCTGGCTATGGATTTCTTCTTTCAACAGGCCCTTGACCGATATCCTTACGAGTTCCTCCCTTTTATTACGCTATGCCGGACGCTTTGCACTGCATCAGAGCAGATTCAGGAGGACAGAACTGAAGTTATTCTGGATCTGCTCCGCCAGACCCCAACGATTACATTTACACTCCCTGAATCGTTTCAGGAATATGAACTAGTCCAGGAAGACGAGAACACAAACTCGTTTTGCCTCTTAGAGGAACTCCCTTTGATCTCTTTGTCGTCTGCATGGAGCCGGAGGTTCATTGAAGATGACGCTTATAGAATACCTGTGGGCACATATGGAAGATTTATTACAGATACCGGCCGTGTTGTCTTGATGGATTATTCTCATTCAACTCTGTCTCTCCTGGGACGGCGGTTAGAGATTAGCCTTACACAGGAGGGCTACCGGTGCGAGCTGGGAATGCTGCAACCAGATGAAACGGCCGAAGTTATCTCATTATTTGCTTCGCTGCTTCGAATGGAGCAGTTGAAGGCGACGAGGCAAGGCGATAGTGGTGCATTGGTCCAGTTCGATAACGGCATATTATCCGAGGCTAGCGTACACATCAGTAGTGGCAAAGATATTGTCACTGTTGTGTGCGAAACCATGGACTACTATATGCAGGATGAGCTGGCCATGACTGAGGACTCTGCCGTGAGCGTTCTTACTGCTTGCGTCAAGTTCTTGCATGCTGTTCTGCAGATTCAACCCAGCCGAGTCTGGTCTTACCTCGCAAGGACAGAACTGTTGAACTCTGAGTCAAGAGCTGGCAAACTCACCAAAATCACGGGCAGTCTTGACTTGGTTTCAGAGAGATTCGAATTCCTCACATCCTCGTTGTCTCTGTTTTCTGGACTTATCGATACTGTCATGTCTTCCGCCGTCCAGCGACGGGCAGGAACCAAAGCTACGAGCCGGCAACAGCCAGAATCTAACATTTGGCTTGGAACCGCCGACAAAGTACTATCCAGCGTGAGCTTTTCGATTGCTCAAACGGCGGTTGACGTATTTGAGAACACCTCGACATGGATGTTTGAATCAGAAACCAGCAGAATATCACTGTTGCAGATTGTCGTTCCCATTCTCAACAAAATTGTCCTCGATACGTACAGCATGGGAGATTCTCCCAAGTCCGATAATCTCACGTCTTGCCTCCAACCAGCCGCTTCTCACGTCATTGACTCCTTTTTATCGCCATCGACAGGAAGCTTGCGTTTCCAGCCTCTCCTCTTCTCTTTCATCTCTACCCTCACAGGGCCAGACACGACGCTATATCCTAATCGAACACAAGCTATTCAAACCCAGGTCACCTCAATCCTCGACTTTTCTACCACTCTACTTCGGGTAGCAAACTATCTGGAACGCCCGTCGATTTTGCTTGAAACTTACCTATTCAAGACTTCCACTTTATCAGCTCGGCTATGTGCAGTGTCTGACCACTTCCGCGGGCCAGCTTTATCGCTACTGGAGGCCCTCGTCATCAACGCTGGCCAGTCTGCTAGCGAACCTCCCTCACTGCTAGGATATCTTGGCCCACAAATCTCAAAATCTTTCTTACAGATTCTTGCAACAATTGGAAAACCTTTTGCTTTGCCGGAAGTAGTGAAGATTACTTGGAGATTCTTCTCTTCCATATTAAAGAACCGCCAGCAGTGGATGTCTAACTGCCTTCTCACGGGACAAACACCCCGAGAAGCCATGAAACAAGATGCTAAGAACGAAACGTCTGCGGATTCTGTATTCGCAACGGCTCTTTCTAAGCTCAAAACCTTGAAAGATCTGGAAACGGGTGAGGCGCTTGTTGTTTTGGATTTTGTCGCATCCGCGCAAAATTACTGGCCCTGGACGGTGTTCACCCTGCAGAAAGATACTGCGTACATAGATGGGCTGCGAGCTTATGTTCGCGACTTGAAACCTTCACATCAGACAGTCAAATCAGATGCGGTGCTGGCTAGTATTCAAGCAAGAATTGCTGCATACATTGCCGAAACGTTCGCGATGCAACTCTATCATTCGCGCCATCTAGACAATGCCGAAACGCTTGCTAAAGCGTTAGTCAACGATTTGGACTACTATCTGCGTGATGGTGTTGAGGTGGCAAGCTACAACAAGTCTCTCCACAACAACTTTGCCAAGAACTTTTCCAACAAGTACTTTGGATGTGCTCTGGACAATTTCAAGCGCACCATGGTGGAGCCTAAAGAGCTGGGTGAGAACTATTACTATGACCTGGACCGTGCCGATGAAGTCTTGAGATTTGACCCGGGATGGCGGGGAAAGAGAAAGGGAACTGGCTTCTTGAACGAGATGAAGCTTGCAAACGCCAACCTGTCTCTAGTCGATGCTCAAATCGTAAGTACTCCAAACTTTGTGTACGCGGGAAATTATGGTCTCTAACTGATTGCTCTTTGTTTAGGCTCTTTTCCACGCCTGGGAGCTTCTGCTGCTTGAATTGAGCACATGCTTCCCAGAGAGCGATACTACTAAGAAGCAGATGATGCAGGTTGTGCAGCAGTGCCTGAATGCCAACCAGGTGACTCCCGGCCCTGGAAGTATTTTTCTCAAGATTGTTGACGCGAGAGCCAACCTGTCTCTCATCTTGGTCCAGCGCTTGGTTAAATCCACTCTTGCTGTCAAAGACGTCAACCAGTTACTAGAGACCTTGATCGGCACCATCAATAGCGTTGATGAACCGTTCGAAGCTCAGTCCATTGGTTATTACCGAACGCTCTTGAAGACGTTGTTTGTTATTTTGCGGGCGTATCAGGCGGCATCCAGTAAAGTAGCCACGAACACTCCTGATGATCTCGAAGGGTCGATTGTAAATGTTACGCAAACCGTTCTCAACATTTTGGACCACGTGGTTGCCAGAGGATTCAGAACATTAGTCAGTCTGATCCATGACAGAGAGGCTGACGTATTCCCAGAGGATCTGGCTCTTCTTACGGCAATCATGCAAGCTTGTCTCAGTGTTCCCAATATTGAGCAGTCTCAGACAGCAATCCTGAACATAATGGCATCTCACGACGCCACGCATGCAGCAACGTCATTATACTCGTGGGCTGATAAACTTGATGATCAAGGCGACCCCGTCTATGGCGAGCTTAGCATTTTGTTCCTACTGGAGCTCTCAACTCTGCCAGCATTGGCAGAGCAGCTTGCGTGCGATGGCGTTCTTGGGGCTATCTTGTCTGCCAATCTCACCAAATTCATGCTCAGAACCAATGTCTCTCCGTACGCAGATGTGCCAATTGCACAACGGTGTTATGGTATCTGGGTAAAGGGAATGCTCCCACTCATGCTCAATCTACTCACCGCGCTTGGCGCTACTGTTGCTCCAGAAATCACATATGTCTTGAACCAGTTTCCACATCTGCTGCGAGCCAGCGTTGACCGGTTCGAGGCACCGGGGGCCAGCCGGACAAAAGAGAAGTCTGCGCAGTATTTGACGCTTCTTGGTACCGCAGAGGTCCACTCTTTAGCACTGCTCACGCGTGTGCTTGCGGCTCTGCGGATGAACAACAGCAGAGACATTCCCGCAGTCGAATGGGACGCGACAAGTTTACTTGAAAATGTCGACTATTGGCTCTCCAGCAGACGTCTTTTGAAGGAGCGGCTCCTGCCTCTGGGACAGCGAGAGATGGAATGGAGAGGAAGGAAATTGTCAGGAGATTGCGACAATTTGCTAGAAGAGAAGGTGGTGGCACAGCTTGAGACGGTTCGAGATGTGCTTAGCGACGAATTTGAAGGCTGAAATGAATAAATATCGGATTTTGATTTGAGTTTACTAGACGAGAGTGCTGGAGATGATAATGGATTTCAGGATTAGGCGTTGGATGTTGGACTGGGCTACTACTGCATCAGATGTAACATGCAAAATTCCCCTGTGGATACGAAGTATACAATTATAAACTCGAGCATCTAAAAATAATTCCCATTGAGCGAGAATTTTATCCCATTTTGTATAAGTTGGTTGATGTATTACCCAGCGTTGAGACGCGAACCGATAAGATTAGCCTTCGTTCTCAACTATCCAACTACTACCCTGCCCCAACATATCCCGTAATATTGATACAAATGACTCTTTATCTCCTCGAGTCAAGGTGGTTTCCTGGCATAGGTAGCTATTTATATCGTACAATGCCCCGGAGTGTAGAGGTTTCAACACACGCCTTTCCCAACAGATAGCTTTAGACAGGCCGGAGAAGTAGCCAAAAACAAGTAGTATGCCCTTTTATCCCGCCATCAAGATCAAAAAAAAGATTTCTGTCGTGGAACAAAGTTCGTTTATTGCCTGATCGTTTCGTTCTGATAAATGATTTTATTGATTTTTTATTCTTTTATTGTATTTTACTTCTGCTGCATCTGCTGCGTAATCTGGGCATTGTGCTCCTGGAAGCGCTCGCTCACGCGCTGCTGTGTGGCCATCCACTTGAGGACGCAGCGGTTGAGACAGCCGGTCTCCTTGGTGGAGATAGATTTGGAGGTGAAGTCGTCGACGCAGGAGGTGAAGCAGTGCTCGACAAGTCCGCCGAAAGCCTAGAACAATGATTGTTGTTAATTGGGGAATTCATATCGCTATCGGGGTGTGTCGAGGAAGAGAGGCGAGACGTACGCTGACGAACTCCTTGACTTGACGCTTCTGCATGCGCTGCTCGAGAGTGCGCTGCTCGGCGGATGTTAACCTGAGATTCGATGTTAGTTTGTAGTCCCTTTTGTACTTTGGAGATTGGACATGTGAAATGCGTACATATCCATTGTGGCGGTATTGAAGGTAGTGAAAAAAGCGATTAAATGGCGATTAAAGGTGGTGTTTGGCTTGGAGGTTCCTAGTCTGGAGACTGATGACGATGAAATTTCAAAGTTGCTAGAGACGGTTCGCACCCCACATTGAAGTGTGGAAGCTTTCTTTGCGCACGGATGACGGATGTAGCTTAGAGCGAATGGGAGGCCATACAGTGCCCAATACTTATATCGCTTGATATGCACTGTAGTCCAACTTCACTCAAGTGAATGAGGGCAGCCACGGCTTCATTCAATTGAAATAGGTTGTGATGTGAAATATATTCTACGGAGACAGAGAAGCACAGAAACGCAATTTTTGGATCTCAGAAGGCAATTTGAAGCTTAATATTGGGCTAGAGCGTTTTAAGGTCTATCGGCAGATATAGAATGAAGGAGGCTTGGATAGCTTGACATCGCTACACTGCTCGGAGTCGCATATATTGCGTTGACTGTCAAACTAAGAAAGAGTGTTCATCGTTGAAAATGTGGTAGCGCTGAGAAGCAGAATACTAAGTGAGCAGCATACAGAACATATATCATCGCAGTAGGGACTTACAGAGAGTCCCGTCGTGAGCATGGATAGGCGAGTAAGACGATACTAATACTAGATGTCGGGGCGATGCAGGGAAGAACACAAAAAGAAGGCGGTATAGCTCAATCAACGGTTCAACTGGCATCAGGGCAGCTCAGGGAAGCAGTTTCGCTACTGGAGCATGCAACGACTTTAAAGCTGTTCATCTAATATCTTTGACTCCCTGCCTCACATAAATCTCCGTCTCAAAGATCACTAGCGAGAAAACGGTTTCACGATTATATCAACGACTTCACGTTTGCCCTCTCTGTTCAAGCTTTACTTCTTTTTCTTTCTCTTTCTGCTCTTCTATATTATTTTACGGATGTTACGGAAAGCTACTCTTTGGCTTATTCAGTCTTGGAAGGCGGCTGTTTGGTCTGACTGGCGTGAGAGTAAGTGCTGTGAGAGTTTATCCAACACCAAGCGGTGATAGCACTTGTAGGCAAATTGAAGAGTACAAGTCTCATTGCCGGTAAGCTATATGATCAAGTAATTTTTAACTCTCTATTTTTTATTTTCATTTATTTCCATCTAGAGTCACTTTACTTGACTGCGAGACCCACGTTCTTCTGACCCCTGGGCTTTGACAGCCTTGCTTTAGATTGGTTCCATTATCAACACGACCTTTCATACCTCTTGGAAGCTATTATCTTTCTCGTATTGCAGATGCATCAAAGCTATTTGCTTGTGCATTTTCATTGATACATCGCTCTGAGAATTAATAATCAGGGCGCAGCCATTATTCGCAATTCGGATTCTTCATCTCTATTGGAGCCGAGTATCAGGCTCGTACAGTGAAGACAAGCTCCATAGTGATGGGGTCAAGGTTACATGATTGATATAGAGTTTCTCAATGGAGCAGCAAGTTGAAGCCATCGTCTTTCTCTTTCTCTATCTGCCTCGTATCTACAATCGGATTTGCACAGCTCAGCTATACCCCGGCCTGCATTAGTGCAAGATGCTATGGCTTGGGGGCCGGTTTGGAATACCACAAAGACGTCAGAATCCGTATTCCTTTACCAGTTCCTGCAGTTCCTGGATTGCTCGGCTGCATTGTCAATCGTGTACATCGTTCATCGTGAGCCGCAAATACTGGGACGGACCGGTGGGGCTATGCTCGGATGTTTGGCTCCTTTATGATCCCCTGGTCAAGGCGCAATGCAACAACAGCCTATTCGCTCTCTATAAAAGCGCCGGGAACCCGGGCGAGGTTTCAAAGGCATGGGATTGGTGTGAACACAACGATATCTCCGTAACCTTGTCGCTGGCCGGATATATGTACTACATACGAGGAAGCTGATGATACGACGTCAGCCGCCTAAGCCACAACGGCGTCGTGAACAAGCCTCGTCTCGTTGTGCACCTCAATCGTTATCAACTTTCGGCGATTGTTGTTGCTGGTGGTGAGCAAAGCAGCCTGTCGCGTACCAGATTACGGCTGGGAGTAAACAAAAATACGAAGAGCCTGTGCCGTGACGTCTGATTGGCATCCCCAAGGCGAGCTAAGCCGTCGATGGTGCCAAGTAGGCCTAAAAAGTGCCCGCGTATATATATGCATGTAAACTTAATTGAACCATTCAAGGTGAGAGAGAGCTGGAGATTTGATTAGCAGGATTGGAGCGATATTGGCCCTGCCGCTAGCACGGGCACGACCCCATTTGGCTATGCTGCAAAAAGCGAAGGTCGATGGAGCTTTTTAATCAATATTAATCAATATTGGCCTGCTGCTCTGACCTTGTGTTGGAATAGGTGGTATAATACGAAGTCATCGTATATGTCATCTCCCTTGGCTAGGTACAGGTAGTCTCTGTCATACTGGGCCGCTAGCAGCTCAGCTACTGCTGTAGCGCCCCTTTTTGGGCGGTACGTGATAGCTGTATGATTCATCGTACATTCAACCATTCAACCATTGAGATTCATACAGAGACAGAGACAGAGAGAGAGAGACAAAGGGACAATTTGAGCTCAGCTCAGCCAGGCCACCCACCAGGCCGCGGCCCCTCCTCTCGAGACGTCCGCTGCAGCGCCTTGCAGGGGGCATGGCCTTGTTTGCGCTGCGCTGCCTTAGAAGATCCAGGCGCCGATCATCCAGAAATTAACGCCTGGTTCCAACGTCATTCGCTGTTCTGCCGATGCCTCTTCCCCCTCGTTTTTGCGCGTGCACCGCCTCGTTGCCCTGGTCGGGGCCATTGCGCGTGCATGGAGGGGCTGGTTTGCGTGTAAGAGGAGGTAGGTACATGTAAGAAGCAGTGCAGGACGTGATTCCAGAGGCACTCAGCTCGACTTCAACGGGGGGCTGTAGTATTAGTGGTGTATCATCGTCTGCTCCCCTTGTCCAGCCATTTCCCGCCGCTGCGACTGCAACTGTACGGTGCCTGCAGCTGCCTCACTCCAGAGCCCCCTGTGTTTTACAGCCGTCATCCCGCAAGGAATGCCCCGTCAAGCATTGGCCGTCATCAACGTATCGTGTACTGCACCATGTATCAGAACAGCTTCTCTGCGCACACATGGGGCTTCTAATAATAAGCCCGCGCCACAAAAGAAGCGTGCCTGCAGCCCACGTACACGCCTGTATGGCACAGGTACCGGCCCGGCACATGGGCAGCGCAAAGCCTGGTGGGCTGCCTTGTCTGCGTGTCTCGGGGCCGCTAGAGCGCCTAGCGCTGCGACCTGCCATCCCGTGGTTCCTCGCTCCAGTACGACGCTGCTACCGCGAGGTACTTGGCCCGCGGCGCCCTCGCAGCACCCGCCGTACCGCTGTCCGCTGTGCCACCCGCCACCAAAAACCTCACGGCGACAAAGCTGCAACACCACAGCCGGCCTCTCAGCCAAACGCCGTGCCACCTCCTCCAACCTCGCTCCGCGCCCGTCCATCGCCGCCGCTGGAATCGCGTCCCTCATGTCTCTGGGCCTTTGTCGGGGCATCTGGCCGCTACTTGACCCTCGCATCGCCTGCTCTGCCGCCCGCCCGCTCGCTGCCCGCCGAAGCGTCTCGTTCTCATCCACCTGAGCGACGAGACCACGAGGCACTCACTCCTCGTTTTTTGCGCAATCATCGACGCTCGTTGACGCTCCCCGACTCTGACGCCATCTGCGAACCTCCAGCTTGCTCCCATTGCATTCGCTCTCGCCTCTCGCCTCGCCTCTAAACTCTCGCTCGCGCTCACGCTCACCACTTTCTCTTCTCTTCTCTTGCCCTCCCTTTCGGGGGCCGAGTCCATCGCTCGTTGCGCCCTCCCTCCGTCGATCTGGGCAATTCGCAGCCTCGCTGAATCTGCCTGCCCATTGATTCTGGCTGCGCTGCCTGTCCCTCGCCGTCTGCCCTCCTCGCGCAGGCGCCCGCCATGACGTCCAGCAATCCGAATCCGCATCAGGGCAGCCCGCCGTCGCTGCCCGCCATGCCCAACACCCCTGCGTCGCCGCCGAACAAACGCGACCTCAAGTCGTGGTGGAAGAACTTCAAGCTGCCGACCAAGCACCAGGAAACGTCTCAGCAGGGTACGCTCTCACCTCCACAACACTCCCCTCCGCCGGCCCTTATACCTTTATCCGCAGACGGCTTGCCTCGTTCAGGAAGCTCTGGTCGCTATTCAGATCATCTGGTATCGATTTTTTTCAATTTGCTAGGTTGCGTTTCATTGCGTGCCACGTATGCCTATTGAAGCCAGGGACTTCTTGTCGCAGTTTGCTCGGTCATTGAATAATCCTAGTTGAAAGGCGTGTCAAGCGATACAAATCCTGATCCCAATTGAATACCCTATCCCTGGCTCTTTCAGATAATCGTTTCTGCTGTCCCTTGGCTACTTGCATATGCTCATGAAGAGAACGAAAAAAGAAGCTTTCCTAATGCGTCATCTCACTTGTGTTTACACACTAAACTAATCTCCTGAATCTATAGACCACCGTGGCAGCGGAGGCATATTTGGTGTTCCTCTCCGACAGAGCATAACATACGCAAACGTTGCCATCTCTCTTGTTGACGAGAATGGAAAGAGCTACATTTACGGCTATGTTCCTATTGTAGTCGCTAAATGCGGTGTCTTCTTGAAGGAAAAGGGTACGTCTGACGAAGATTGGAGCCAGTCGGTTCATGCAATATTGATCAATTGCTAACACCCACCCCCAGCTACTGGTATTGAAGGCATCTTCCGACTGAGCGGTTCCGAGAAACGAATCAAAGAGCTCAAGACGATTTTCGATTCGCCTGATCGATACGGCAAGGGACTCGTTTGGGAAGGTTATACCGTTCACGATGCTGCCAACGTGCTCCGGAGATATCTCAACGATTTACCCGAACCTGTAGTGCCCCTAGACCTATACGAAAAGTTCCGCGATCCCCTTCGTGGAGCTACAAAGCAAGCAGTCGGAGATACCGAGGGTCCGCAATTCGTTGAGAATT